GTTGTGTATGTCCATGTACATGTTTGTCTGCATGATCGATATTATCTGCTTGACTTACATTCTTTCGGGTCACTGTCTTACCGGTATACCCTCTTTTCGGGCCCCTACCGCTATGGTATGCCTACCTTCGGATCACTGTCTTATCAGTATACCCTCTTTTCACTTTTCGGGCCCCTGTCGTTATGGCATGCCCATCCTCGGGGTCACGACCTTACCGGTATATCCCTTTTCGGGCAGCTGTCGTCACGGCATTCTCATCTTCGGCTCACTACCTTACCGGTATATCCTTTTCTCGGGCCCCTACCACTACGGCATGTCAATTCTTATGATTTGCTGCCTTCATAGCATATTCTATATCATTATTTATATGTTTTGATTTGTTTGCATTAGCATTTACATTTGCATGTTTACATGGATAGCGAGTCAAGTTCGTTAGGAGAGTGACCCCGTATTGGTCGCGATGTCTTAACGAGCATTGTTTGTTGGGTTGATCCCAATGGGCAATGCAAGTTAAGTCATCGGGATTGACACGAGTATGACTGTGTTAAAGATCTAATAGATCTAACTCGTGTCATCATTTTTTGTGACACCATTTAGATCCTTCGAATCTTTAGGATAGGGTCGGTATAACGACTCCGTCAAAATCATATTATACCTAGACTTAACCCTCACTTAGATATTAGGTTAACACACCTTTCGTTAGATGGTATGCTAAGCTATGACTTAGAGTGTTGGGTAGTCTTTTTGATACTTGGCTATTGTTCTCTGTTGGATTGGTTACCCTAGCCATGTATCTTTTCTTTGCATTATGCTTGTGGTGTGTCTGCATGTTGCATATGTAAGGTAATGTGTTGGGGCGTTCTTCTGCAATGAGTCATGTCTATTTTTATACACACACAGGTACCGCTATAGAGGGAGCAAGTAATGATTTCTTACCATTTTGCTTGCAGGTGCTATTAGCTCCTCTCACTTTTAAGGCATGGCTCATGATACGTTATGTGCATGTGAGTTTTCCCGCTGACATTTGTTTTCATGCAGGATTGAGTCTTTTTCTTTTCTCTATGTACTTTTAAAATTTATGTGAGTCCTGTAGCAGAAATAAGATACGGGCACGGGTTCCGAGAGATTAACGTGGAAACCACGTGGAGGGGACCAGAAGCAGATGCTCACGCCCCATATCTTAATTTTGTATTTTATATTGATATATAGAATTAGGACCAGGCATGTATATGCGGAGTCCGGCAGCATTTTTCTTTTCTGGGACATGTTGTTGACCCAGCGGCACCGGCTTTTTTATTATTTTGGTTTGACTTGCTTTATTTTTTTTTGCATCATGTTGCATGTCTGCACTTGCATGTGTTTTTCTTACTTTCTTTCTGTGTTTTATCTAGGATTTCACGATACAACATAGGCTCATCAAAAATCCTAAAATTATAATTTTCTACAAAATCCTAAATAAAATATTCAAAATAATTAAAATTTAGGATTAAAATATTCAGGATCTAGAAATTGCAACTTTTACTTTCCTGCATATATTAATAGGGCATTCACAATACTTAGGATCACTCTAGATAACTGCATTCATGTTTGCATGTCCTGAAGATGAGCCTCCGTACTTTTTCAACCTGACTGACCCAATATACCTTCATATAGGTGGTTGTCTAGTGCGTCTAGAGTGTTAGAAGGCTCCCCGACCCAGACGGGGTGTAAGTCCTTTTTGTTGGAGTGTTTACAACTTTGTAGTTGAACCTCCACTTTCTCTTCTTTCCGAAGGCATCATTGTCACTTCGGCAGGTATAAGTCCCACATCTTGAAGCTCCAGCTTGTAGTCATATAATAGAATTTCCTTCCTTTGACCTTAGGGCTACCGAGGTACCCGTGGCTGAT